ATAAAAAAAGAAGATACATATAGATAAAGTATAATTAAAATAGAATAGAAAGTGCTAGAGTTAGAGGGTCAAATAAAGGTGGAACAGATGTGTTTTTAGTCGTTTCTTGAAGATGGTTAAGGACTCAGCTGCTCGGATTGAGTTGGGCAGGTCATTCCACCAGGAGGGAACAGTTCATTTAAAAGTCGTAAAAGTCATGGGCCTGTTCTTCTTGATGTTGAATAAAGCAAATCTGCAGGACTGGGCAGTTTTAGCAATGTGGTCTAAGTCAACTGATCATCAATCATAACCCCAAGGTTTCTGGCTGTTTTTGAAGGAGTTATGATTGATGTTCCTAACTGGATGGTGAAAATGTGATGAAACGATGGGTTTGATGGGTTGAGTTCAAGGTGATGGTCCTTCATCCAGCAAGAAATGTCTGTTAGACAAGCTGAGATGCGAGCAGCTATCGTCGGATCATCAGGATGGAATGAGAGGTAGAGTTGAGTGTCATCAGCATAGCAGTGATATGAAAAGCCATGTTTCTGAATGACAGAACCTAGTGATGCCATGTAGACAGAGAAGAGAAGTGGTCCAAGAACTGAGCCCTGAGGCACCCCAGTAGCTAGATGTTGCGACTTGGACACCACACCTCTCCAAGATATCTTGAAGGACCTATCTGAGAGATAAGACTCAAACCACTGAAGTTTGGTTCCTGAGATGCCCTGATGCCCTTCTCTCTGGTGCTTAACCGTGTCAAAAGCAGTGGACAGATCCAGCAAGATAAGTATTGAAGATTTGGAATCCGCTCTTGCCAGTCTTAGGGCTTCAACAACTGAGAGCAAGGCAGTCTCGGTTGAATGTCCACAACGACTGTTGAAAACCATTTGAAATTTGTGTCAGCACGTCATAATAGAACCCGGCAGCAGTTTTCTGTCGGGGATTTGTTGCGCCGCGCCGCTCACGTCCGTAGACACGGTGTAACATTGGTTTTGCTTTGTTTCACAGAACTAATCGTTACCTGGGTTGCGTACGTATATGTGGGGCGGAGCTATCAAAACAGGGGCAAGACCCTTTTGGGGTAGGGGCGTGTTTGTTTAGGTGATTTCAAATACCAACATTGGCTACCAGAAATCGCTTACTCTGCCTCACATTAAGGTCAGTAGTATTTTGTGATTTGCGCCACACCCTTTCAGCAGCCCTGAGCTTAGAACGATGTTTGCGGAGAACTTCAGACAGCCAAGGGGCAGAAGAGGTGGTACGGCCTATACCTATATATACTATATATCAGTCTGTTTTTAAAAATATTGGTGTAATTTGTGATGATCTGTTATAAGTGAGTTAGTTGAGTCTCATGCGGTGAATTTGATTGTGGCATAATCAGAGTGAATCTCCTCCTTACTGAATCTGACTGTAGCGTCACTGAGAGACTCTTCATGCTTCTGGAAACTGACAGCAGCGTACAGGAGCTCATCAGAGGGGATTGTGGGTAATGATCCAGGATCTGAGAGAGAATCACGTCTGCTGTCTGCACATGATGACTGAATGCAGATAAAATATAACTTATAGAGCGAAAACATCTTATTAGCACAATATATGTACAAACACACACACACACACAGTGTAACTCACTATTGTATTTTTCTTCCTTTTCCTCTTTCTCTTGTCTGATGTCGAGGTTCTTCCTGATTAACCGAAAACAAATCAATCAGAAAGTGAAAGAAAAACTAGATCAACTTTAAATGTCAGCAGCATCTGAGAGAGAAACTCATTGAGTGATTGAGATTTACTGAAGCAGCTCAGAGACACTCAAACAATTTAATTAAACGATTCAAGAGTTAAATATTGAAACCAAGTGTCACCTCGTCTATTGTGTCTTAATTTGCACACAGTCAGAGTGAATCCACCGATCAGCAGCAGAATCACACACACACTAATAATGATGATCACAGAGAAATCTGAGAATAAAACACACACTGAGTGTTAATTAATCTTCATGCATTAGGAACATTTGATTGATCGAATTAAACTAAATTATATATTATAGGGGAAAAAAGCACATTTTAGTCTCTCTTGTGCAGACTTGCACACAGCTCTACTTCTTCTCTCTGTTGAGTCTCATGTGGGTTTCCTGATAAAGACCGTTAGTTCTTCACAACCAAACTAAACTGAGACTCTGAACCTCCAGCTCATCTCTGTGGTTTTGATGTGAAATGAAAACACCTTCTTCATCATGCACACTAAACACTTCCTGCAGTTATGAGCAATCCCAGAGAGCAAAATTCCTGAGGCCCAGATCAGGCCCACACCTGACACTTTCATCTG